GCGCATACATGAAAGATTATCTTCTTCTTAAAAGATTTAATTTGAAGTGTAAGCCTTTAACTAATATTCTATGGGTTAATATATTTTCTGTTCGCAGAGTAGTTGGTAACTATTTTGTAACCAAAGCAACTGCTATCATGATGGGAGTTAGCAGAAAGTTTTAATTAGTATTCTATGGTATAAATCTTTCGGCAAAGTAATAAACAAAAACGAAATCACATCAGTTGCGTCATTATTTTTGAAGAAGAAAACTGCTGTATAATATCTGGACTTTTCTCCCTCTTGCAATTGGTAATTTAATTCACCCAAAAGAACGCATCAGGAGATCACACCAATAAAAGAATTCAAGAGATTTTATTATTCATCTTTATTTGCATAATTATTAATGGAGGCATACCTTTGCAAAAGTGTTTGCCAAATCATCCATTTCCGATAAAGATCCCAACCCTGTACCCTGAAATTGAAAAAAGAAAAAAGGATAACATTAAAACTATTTCTCATATCTTCCATAACTGTCAATGGTCCCAATAGCCTCATCTTGACCATCTCCAAACCAAATAACATTAAAAAGCTCCACCAACCTAATCCAACTAGGACCTTCCAATGAAAAAGATCTCATCTAAAACCAAGGTCCCAATCATTAACCTCGTTCCTCCAACACTGCTCAACGGTAGCATGTTGTTTCATTGAAATGCTGAATAAATCTGGAAAAGTAAAGGCTAAAGAAGCATTCCTAACCGTATGTCCTTCCAAAAACGAATCATGCTCCCTTATTGTACCTTAAAAGACAGAATTTTTAAGACAGCTCCATTCACAGCTATATCAAACCAAGGCCTACCTTTGGCTTTGCGAAAGGAAAGCCGTGATTTGAAATTGCCAAGAAATATAACTTCCTCGGATTTCGTAATTTTAAAGTAAATAATGGGAGTAAAGTTAGATTCTGGAAGGACGAATGGGTGGGGGGACTGACTCTGGAAGAGAAACTCCCATTTGCTTCATTTCAATGAAGCAAGATGCGATAATTCCTGAAATAGTGAGGCGAGAGATTGGGATTATGACCTCCAAAGCGGTCTCTTTGATAGGAATCTGGAAAGCTGGGTTGTGCACTTGTGCTGGTTGATTCACTTGATATTGCCTCGTCGGGACAGTGTAATGACTGAGTTTTGTGGTCTCTTGATTCAGGGGGTGTAGTCACCTCAAAGTCTACTTTTCTGAAGTGATGGGTTCTGCCCTACAGTGGGGTCTCCTTTTTTATATTATTTAACATTTTAAGTGCCCTAAAAAAGTGAACATTTTTTTGTGGCCTATAGTCCATAGAAGTTTAAACACTCAGGGCATGGCTCAAAGGAAGTGCAGGAACTGGGCTCTCACACCGATGATGTGCTGTCGTTTCCTTCAAAGTGAAGAAAATCTGGATCAATTGCTCTTACATTGCCCGTTTGCTGCCAATGGTTAACTCTCCCTCATGAATATCTTTGGGGTGGGCAGTTGTTTGCCGAGATCTATAGATAGCTGGCTCTTAAAAGTTTGTTCAAGGTGGAAAATGTCCAAAATGGCCAACATTCTATATGGCGCTGTTGTGGCACATTTGGTAGGAAAGAACGCAGAGGATCTTTGAGGATGCATCTTCATTTGAGTTTTCTTTATAAGTGTATAGTATATTACTTCTATTTGGAGGTATAGTGACAGAAAATTATTTTATTTTTATAGTAACAACCGTACAACAGTCTTTATCGATTGGAAGGCGCTCTTTTAGTTTGTTCACCCCCAACCCCTAGGTTGTCCCCCTTTTCTACTTGTCAGACATTTCTCGTTTCTTATCCACACACATGCACATACACAAAAACATATATATATAAATAAATAATTCTGACGTGCTCTTTCTTTCATAGGGAACAAAAGTAGCATTCAAGAAACGTAACTGTGAACTAAAGCTTACCTCTTCCTGAACAAACAAACGATATTCTTCATCTGTAGACCCAAATAATGGAACATCTTCGTCTTCTTCTAAACCTCCCAGCTCCACTTCTCCCACGACATTTTGACCAAAAAATTCATATCGTGAAGCATCAAAGAGTGAATTAGCTGCATAAATAAAAATAAGATCATCAACTAGTCGCTTTCGAAATAAAAGGGAGGGAAAAAAGTCAACGGCTGAGGACAATCTAATTTATCCCAATTGAACATTTCCACCTCTCTTCCTATATCAGAACCCAGTAAAATAGTTCAATTACATAGGAAATTGAGACTTTCAACAAGAATGGGAAAATACAAACAGAAGGAGCCAAAATATACCAGCTGAGCTGAGTAACCTGATAAAATAACATAAAGAAACTAAACTAAATAAAAAGTCTACAAGAAGCTAAAGGCTAAAGCATCCCATTTCCAAGATCTTAAAAGCTAGCAGCAATTATCCCATCACCAAAAACCTCTAGTCACGTTAGCCAAAATACCTAAAGCATAGCAGAAACACAGGGAAACTAGCAATGCTCCGCAAAGAAAGAGACAACAAAAGGTCTATGAAGCATGTCTTTCACCAATCACGAATTACAATACTTCTTGAAGAGTAAAATAACAAAGTATGAATGCAAAACATTCTATCTCGCCCTCCCCTTAGCCACAAGTCAGATAAAGTGGATCATACCACCATAAACACAACCAATTTAATGGTAGAAATACATAACATACGATACCATTAAACATTCAAATGCAAACACACTTCAACAAAGGCAGATAGATACGAAAAATACAGCTTCAGCACTGAGAAACGCCTCAAAAGAGGCAGATAGATACGATATAACAGTTGGAGCACCAGGGAAAACTTTAACAGAGGCAGATATATACGAAAGCAAAACAAATTTAAACAAATAAACAACAAGAAAAATACATAAAATCAGACAATCCAAGGTCCCAAACTAACTAGAACGCTACAACCTCTATAATACACCAACAACAAAAACCGTCAAACTACTTCATCTACCGACTTCCCAAAAAATCCAAACAAGCTCCAGAAGAACTCGATCGAAAAACGAAAAAAACGGAGACAAATCTCAAAGCAGAAACAGTGAGCTCACCAGAGGAATTCTCCGTAGAGCCCTTCAAATCCTTGGCATCAACAAGTTGTTCCATGGCATAAGAAAGAATCAAACAACCTCGAAGAATCGCGGAAAGGGACGAACCATACAACCAAAAAACACCAAAACAAGCAGCAGCAGCAGCAGCAGCAGCAGAAGAAGAAGAAGAAGAACAGAAGCAGACAAAGAAGCCGAGAAACAACAACCAAACAACAAAAAACAACGGTGTGGTCGTCGTCGTCCTCCTCCTCCTCCGCGTAGAAACCAATTCTAAAACAACAAGAAAAAGACACAGCACCCACACAAACGCGGTGGGTTCTATTCTAGGGTTATCTCAAACTGAAAACCAAGATTTACAGGAAGAGAAACGACAGCATTACAGAAAATCGAAAAGGGCTACAAATTCAGGCTAGAACTGAGGACCATTAGATGAAGAAGAAGAAGAAGAAGAAGAAGAAAACCCATCTCTCTCGATGAGAGAGAGAGCGCGCGCGCAAGAGGGAGAGAAAGAGAGAAAAGAGATACAATAGGAACATTTTGGAGGTTGGGCTTAGGTAATTACAGAGATCAAAGATCGGGGAAGAGAGAGAAAGAAGACGAAGACTTTTTTTTTTTTTTTTTTTCCATATCTCTTTAATTTTAATTAAATTCCATTTTTCATATTTAATAATTTTAGTTTTTAATTTTAAAACCCAAATAATTTTTTATTTTTTTTTCACTCACCGGAAGGCACGTGCTTAGTGAGACAAATCCGGACGAAGGGAGGAGAGAGAAAGTGGGACACGTGGTGAGTTATGAGTGGTGAAATGCAAGGTGTGTTTGAGTGAGTGGTACGCTACTGGAGATATTCTTTTTTAATTTATTATTCTATCGAATATTTTATTTATTTGTTGGTTTTTCCATTTTTAATTGTTTTATAAATAAAGGATAATTTTTCATTGCAACAGATTGGTGACTTGTATTTTTAATAAAAGGAAATATATAATTAGAAGGTAGGCTTTGGAATTAAGGTATGTGGTTTTTGTTTTTTAGTACATATATTATTATTCTCAATAATCAATTTTGTAATAAAAATATATTTTACGTAGATAAATAATTTTAAATGAATATGGAAAATTTTAAAAAAATATTTTTTTTTTGCCTTTTTTTTTTTAGTTTATTTAAATTTTTATTTATCTTGAAATATCTTTCATTTTCGTTAGTTTATTTTTTATTGGTTCGTTGACAATATTTTAAGTTTGTCGTAGATTTAAAAATAATAAATACATGTCACTGATTTTTAAAAAACGTGAATAATATAAATATAAAATATTATTATAGTTTATACACTTAAAATATCTAAATTTTGTCTCATATAATTGGTCTATTATAACTATTTATTAAAAAATAAGAATAATAACAATAAATAAATAAAGTATTTTATTTTAAATTAAAAAAATGCAAGTTTAATTTAAAATTTTAAATTAAAAATAATACAAGTTTAATTTAAATATCCAAAATATATTTTAAATAATGCTTTTAATAGATTTACATGGTATTATTCATTTTTTTTTAAGTTAAATGATATATTAAACATAAATATAATTTTTTTTAAAAGTTAAATGATATATTAAACATAAATATAAATTATCCGTAATATAATTTTATGTGCCAAGTTTATTCGATTAGGAACATAATTGAAAATTCAAAAGGTCTTTTTTTTTCTTTTTGACTCGGAAAGATGCTCATTGAGATGTAGAAGAAAACCACTAAAGCCTCGAGTCATTGAGATGTAGAAGAAAACCACTAAAGCCTCGAGTCATCAATAACCCTTAGCTCATGCTTGGACACAAAAACAAAAGTTTAAAAACTTATTAAACACAAATAGACAAAAATGTAAAACCGCATCTCGAAAGGACTCCGATCCTCGTCGAATAAGATAAGCACTTTTTCGGAGAACACATCCAAAACTACCCATAAAAATTTATTCTGAAAATAAAACTACTCATAGTAACTACAACAGAATAAGAACACAAAATTAAAAATAGTTCCTACCAGAGCCTCACAGCAGCTTCTAAAATGTTACAAACTGCCTGGTCTTTTCCATTTTTATTACTACAATCATCACAAACACGACATCATCAAGATCAAGTGACATTTCCTCGGACCTTGTCACCTTTTTTTGTCGGAATTTTTATTGCAAGTTTATACCCATTTCATTATGTGTAGTGAAACTTACAAGCCAGGAATTGGGAATTGAGTTGTAAGAGCTTCAACTCTCGAGCGAAGATTCGAAACTCGGTCGATTAAGGGGAAATCAGAGGTTGCTACAAACTTGAGGAACTCTTGAAGCTTTGATCCTGGGGCTAGTGGTTTGGCATCGAGAGTTATCTTAACGCCCTCATGTATGAAGTCTGCAACTGCAATGAATTCCTTCTCAGTGAATCCTCGGGTGGTCATGGCAGGCGATCCGATTCGGATGCCTCCTGGAACTAGAGCACTCTTGTCACCTAAGCACAAAATAGCAAGGAGTTAGTTCAAGAAAACTGGATATGGTGACCGGCTTTTGAAACGCAAGTCATTACCTGGTACTGAGTTCTTGTTGAGAGTGATTGAGGCCATGTCGAGAATCTTTTCCACCCGTGCCCCATCGATGCCCTGTGGTTAGAGTGTACTTAAAGATTAACATGTGCTAATACATGCTTCTTTACATCGTCATCTCAATTTTCAAAGCACAGATGTGAGGAACAATGTATTTACCAATGGCCTTAGATCTACAAGAACCAGGTGATTGTCACTTCCACCAGAAACTAGCTTATAACCTAACTCGACCAATCGACTAGCAAGAGCTCTGCAATTGGAGACGACCTAAAGTATGAAAAACTGTGTTAGAAAATAAGAAAACAAGTGTTTTACACCACGTTTAGCTAATCGAGGAAGTGTCGTACCTTGTTCTGATAGTCCTTAAATTCTGGAGATTGAGCATGCTTCAAGCAGACAGCAAGTCCCCCAATTGTATGATTATGAGGACCACCCTGTAAGACAACAATAAAACCAACATATTTAAAAACCAAAGTCGAAGTCTCGAGCAAAATGAACGAACTCTTCTTTACATGCTACCACAAGGCAGGTCAAACCAACCTGTAATCCTGGGAACACAGCATTATTAATTGCAGATTCTAAGTCAACTCCCAGGACAGGATCTTTTCTGAAGAAAATCATGCCACCTCTTGGACCTCTCAGAGACTGCAAACAATTTGACATTTCTTTCACGCTGAGAAAGCAGTTTTTTTATGCAAAAAAACAACCAGTATCCTACCAAATTATATACAAAGCTAATATGTTCTAAGAGAAGGCAGAATGACATCATGACCGAAAAACAATCGATACAAGTAAATGTGCATGAAATGAACTTCGAATCACGTCTATTTTTTCAGAAAAAAGGTATATATTTGTCTTCCTGAAGCTATCTTGGGCTGGTGGCTGAAAGACAAAGCAAAAGTGATCTAGAAGCGCGTTGTTTGTACTCTTTGGTGGATTATATGGCTTGAAAGAAATCAAAGGGTCCAACACTGTTTTAATTCTTCTCGTGATCATGTATTACATATGGCCTTTTCAGTTGGGTGCCCTTCAAAGAGAATTTCTTTTGTAATCACAATTTTCCTTTTATTTTTTATGTTAACATGGATTGGAGTTCTTTCTCTACCCTGGCTGCTAGGTTGTTCCTCTTTCACGTTTGGTTCTTGAATGTACACATTTCTTATTTTATAAAATGAAATAACTTTCGATGAAAATTTGTTCTTTACCTTGTGTGTTGTTGTGGTCACAATATCACAGTATTCAAAAGGATCAGCAACCACCGAAGCAGCAACAAGCCCACTAATGTGAGCCATATCCATCATGAGAAAAGCACCAACAGCATCAGCAATCTACCAGAGCAAATCAAATAAGTTATTCACTAATGCTAGTTAGAATCTAAATAGGGCTACTTAATGTAAAATGGTGAATAATATCAGAAATCCTGACTTTTCTCATGCGAGGATAATCAAAATCACGTGGATAAGCACTTGCACCAGCAATAATCAGCTTTGGTCGAAATAAGTTGGCAGTTTTTTCGAGCATGTCATAATCTACAATGCCTGTAAGAGTTTTCTATTTACTTAGAATGAACAAACCAGTGAAGAGACCATAAAAAAAATCTATCCCACGTGCGGTACATACCTGTAGTCTCGTCAAGACGATAAGGCATAGATTCAAAATAAATTGATGTGCCTGACACCCGCCTCTTTGGTGTCATAAACCCATGAGACAAATGTCCTCCATGAGGCAAGTCCAAACCCTAAAGTCATTTAACATGAGTCAGTATAACCATTGATTGTCTAAATTAACGTGGGGGGTTAAAAAATAACGATAAGGATACTCACCATGATTCGATCGTGTGGATTAAGAATTGCTGTATAAACCTCAAAGTTAGCAGGTGATCCAGATAACGGTTGAACATTTACACCCCACTTGTTATTGTCCAAACGAAATGCTGCTAGAGCCCTTTGTTGACAGAGTGTTTCAAGCTCATCAATATGTTCATTGCCACCATAGTACCTGAGATACATGACAAAAATCTTAATACGCAATAATCCTTCATCGACAACTTATCCCAAAACCTCCCACCAAAAACTAGAATTCACATCCATAGTACATCAAATGAATAAAGTTCACCTTTTTCCAGGCAATCCTTCCGAGTACTTGTTTGTGAGGCAGGACCCTACTGCCTCCATAACTGCCCTAGATGTAAAATTCTCAGATGCAATGAGTTCAAGGCTTTTAAACTGTCGCTGCTTTTCTTTATCGATAATGCTTCGAACATCGGGATCTGCTTCACTCAAGCCATGGTCTACAAAACCGCTTCCACCTGCACAACACCAATGAAGTTAACCAGTGCCAAATTCTCCCACTCAATCAAACACAGTTCTTCTCATTCCTAGCAATCAATTAGGCTAATCTGGTATCAAGAAACAATATAAATCTTGTACAATTCTTGCCCGAGTAAAGGGTCAAACTTCGAGCGATTCTATTAACATGTACCAAGCAGATATGCCAAATTTCTTTCAAACAATCACAACATTGGTAAATGACATTAGATTATATTTCACCTCCAAGTTGTGGAGCAGAGACAGATACAGAAGATGATGCCTTCCCCGCAACCATGTTTGCTTCAACACTGGAGGATTTGCAGGGCTTTAAGACGGTCCATTTCTTGTGTTGCGGAAACACACAAATGCTAGACCCTTTCGAAGGAAAAGACGATCCCTTCGCACAAACAACAACTTGCAGAGAGCCCATCACTGCAGCACCACTCGCAGCCTGCATTCTGTCCACTTAAATCTTCACAAAAAATCCTACAAATTTCATATAAGAAAACGAACTTCAATAACAACCAAACGCCATCACATAACCCCGATTACAGATTACAGGAAGACAATAGCTTCAATAAACATCAAAAGTTAAAAAAATAGCATGCAACATAGCATAGCATCATATTTGAGCACATCCAACCCACAGAACGCTTCGAACACGCTGTGAAATTCTTGTCAGGTAAAAACAAAAACTATCAATCGTTTATCGCCAAAACTCCAATACTCCAATAGAGAATAAAAAAGAGCCGAAGTCAGGAAACACAGAAATGGCAGAGGAAAAGCTAAGTAAAGTGAGATGATGATACAATCGATGAAGGTAAAACGAAACCTTGAACCGGAGACGGACGGGAGGCGGAGGTTGGAAGCAGAGCGGCTGAGTATCCGTTTTCCGCACCTTAATTCTTCGCGATTGTTTATGCGTTTGGCTCGTATATAAAACGCCGGAAGTGTAGGGTTCTGATGAATTTCAAATAATTGCAACTTTTTGTGATTTGTTTAGTAATTTTCGAATAAAAATTATCGGTTTATATCTTTTCCATGTCAGCAGCTCTCGATTATCCCTTCAGCGATTGTCATTTTTATTAATACAAACAAAAGTAGAAATAAGTGTAAAACCGCTGGAAGGGAGGAGGCTGCGGCGGCACGCGGAGGAGGCTGAGGCGGCACGCGGAGGAGGCTGCGGCGGCACGAGGAGGAGACGGCATGAAGAATACGGTGAAGAAGAAAGGGCGTGGAGCACGCATGAGAGGGATTTCCTTCCTTTTATTTCTGAACTTAATTTAAAGCATATTAATAAAAAAAAAAATTAAGTCTAAATGTATTTTTACTTAAATTTTCAAGTGCATTTTTTAAATAAAGTAATACGGTTTTAATCCAAAATTAATGGTAATAATATATTTTTTTTAATTTAGGTATATAATTAAAATTTTGAAAATTTTAAGAATGTTTTTATACAAAAATATAAAATTAATAATTATATCAATTTAACAATAGCCCCACCCCCAAATTTATACATTTTTGTTTAATTCAAATTAATATATATATATATATATATATATATATATAATTGTCTCTATAAATTATAAATGCAATAATTTCTCTACCTTCCAATTATTATTTAATATAAAATTAAAATTTGCTAATTATTAACTATTTTTATTTATATTATAGATTTCTAATTTGCTTATTGGCACTTTTATTTTAAAATGTATTTTTATATTTATATTTATTTTAGTGGCTACTACTTTATCAATTTTAAATAATTCATCATACAACTTTACAAAATATTTAAAATTTAAATAATTGTGAAAACCTTAAGCTCAACCGTTTGGAGATTGGACATGGACATGGACTACAATTGAACATTTGTACATGTACGTATTGAGTTTTGATGGAAAACTGGGAGCGTATTAGATGTTTTTTTTTATTTTCATGTTTTTCAACCTCGATTTACGATATCAACTTATAATAGTTATGTTTCACGTAAATTTATTTAAATTTGAACCGTTTCAATCATTACATTTGGTTAAATTACTTTAATAATTTAATGAACAATTTTTTTTTTTTTAATAATGGACTCCCTGGAAATAATTAAAATATAAATATTTTAAAGGAACACTACAAAATTAAAATATAAATATTTGAATATTTGTGGAGGATAAAGTTGAGTCATGGTAGGAAGGCCCAATTAGACTCTTAAAGCCCTAAAACCCGAAGGTTGAAACCCTAATTCCCATTGGCTAAATAAATCATTTCGCGTTCCTTCAGCCGGCGAAAGAGGCACAAGGGGAAGCAGGGTAGAAGCCAAAAATGGTGAAATTCCTCAAGCAGAACAAGGCCGTCATCGTCCTTCAAGGACGTTACGCCGGTCGGAAGGCGGTCATCATTCGCGCCTTTGACGACGGAACTCGGGATCGTGCTTATGGTCACTGCTTGGTCGCCGGACTCAAGAAGTATCCGTCGAAGGTCATTAGGAAGGATTCTTCTAAGAAGACTGCTAAGAAGTCCAGAGTCAAGGCCTTCATTAAGCTTGTTAATTACAGACATCTAATGCCGACCAGGTACACTCTCGATGTAGATCTAAAGGATGTCGTCACCGTCGATTCCTTGCAGTCGAAGGACAAGAAGGTCACAGCCGCTAAAGAGACCAAGAAGAGATTCGAGGAGAGGTTCAAAACCGGCAAGAACAGGTGGTTTTTCACCAAGCTCAGGTTCTGAAGAGGCTCGGTCTGGATTATTCTCGTATTAGGTTACTCAGGAGTTCAATTTTTGTTTCTAATTTCATCTTTTGTTTTCGAGTAATCGGTAGTTTGTTTTGGTGTTTAATTTTTGTCTTGACGTACTCTAATCCTTCGGATGAGAAATTTCTGGGTTTATAATGCTACATTCGAGACTTCACTTCTGTTTCCATGAGAGTATTGTTATTCATATATTTATTTAGAACACTGGACTACTGATTCTCACTGAAAACGAGCATTTCTGCAACTGTTGGATAGCTCTAACCTTAACCATCAGGAGCTAAACAATTGATGAACTGAAGGAAGAGTTGGTGAGATGTTTTATTCGAGTAAGTCCTGTTCCTAGCTCGATTGAGATGATCTGTCGCGGACTGCCCCCATCATATTTCCATTGCTTGAATTTATATGTTCTTGTGGGCTATTCAGTTGAACCATTGTTAGGGTGACCCTTCGACCAAAACTAGTGGTTACTTTCGAGACAATCTCTTTAGTTGAACTGATGTTTTTGCGTGATTGAAGCTGTTCTTCTTTGTTCAAGAAGTTATATTTTCAATTTTGATTTGTCGAGGGTATGGATTAGTATACAATTTTGTAACTTGCGCAAGCACCCATTGAGTTTTTATGATTTTTGTGGGACTTTACTTCAATTTTTGAATAGGGTTGAATGTGGATACAATATACCTTGGACCAAAATTCATGATCGTTGTTCGACTCTACCTTCATTTGTAGTCGGTGTTGAATGCATATTAATTCTTTACACATGCATGCAGGCTTGTACTCATCACACTATATCATGATTGTATCCATGATTTTTTAAATTCTTTTTAAAAAAATGTTAAACAAGTCCTAAATACTAAATTAGGGACAAGAAGATCTATTAGACACAACTAAAGAAATTTATTGGACTGGACGCCTTATGTTTAGACTTATTGACATAAATGTGAATGCACACATAAACTCAAACTTAATTAATGATATATATTTTATTATATGGATTGTATTTAGCCCATCTAGAAATTAATTTTTTATTTTATTTTTTAGTATTAACACGAGGTATGAAAAGCTAAACTTCCCACCATAAATGAAACATACACGTCAATTATCGCTAAATTATTTCAAAATATTAGACACATGAATTATTAATAATTATATATTTTGCCCTTATTAATTTTCGTGATAAAAAAGTTTTATTTTTATTTTTAAAATTTGAGTTAAACAAAAAGATAGCCCATTTGAGTCTGAAAGCCCATTTCAGCACGGCCCAATATCACATGAAAGCCCATTTTCACAAGGAAAGCCCCATTACCCTATTTTAGGGGAAACCTAAATCCGCGCTTTGTCTGTTGGAGCCGACGCGAAGGGAAAAAACACAGAGAGGAGAAATCCGACCATGGTGAAATTCCTCAAGCAGAACAAGGCCGTCATCGTCCTTCAAGGCCGTTACGCTGGCCGGAAAGCGGTCATCATTCGTGCCTTCGACGATGGGACTCGGGATCGTGCTTATGGCCACTGCTTGGTCGCCGGAATCAAGAAGTATCCGGCGAAGGTAATTCGCAAGGACTCTTCTAAGAAGACTGCTAAGAAGTCCAGAGTCAAGGCCTTCATCAAGCTTGTTAATTACAGACACCTAATGCCCACCAGGTACACTCTCGATGTGGATCTTAAGGACGTGGTTACCATCGATAGCTTGCAGTCGAAGGACAAGAAGGTTACGGCCGCTAAGGAGACCAAGAAGAGATTCGAGGAGAGGTTCAAGACCGGGAAGAACAGGTGGTTTTTCACCAAGCTCAGGTTCTGAAGAGGCTCGTTCAGTTATGGATTACTCTGGTATTAGGCTACTGAGCAGCTTTATTGTTATTTTCCGTTTTGTTATCGAGTTATCATACGTTTAATTTTGAAAGGTAGTTTGTTTTGGTGTTTAATTTTTCGATGGACGTATCCTAATCTTTTGGATGAGAAATTTCTGTGATTTTGATATTACATTTGAGATTTCACTTATTTATCTTCACAAATATTTCGACTTATGTGATAGCATTGTTATTCGTATGCTGAGTGTTTTTGTTTCCTTTGAATCTGTCTGTTTCATTGCTTTAATTTTATCGAGAAATGGTGTCCTGATTCTCACTGAAGCGAACATTTCTATAAAGAATTGCTGAGATGTTTATTATCAGTTAGTATTGTTCTTAGCTTTGCTTGATAAGATCTTCAATGAGTTTCTGAAATTACATTTCCATCTGTTGAATCAACTGATGTTTATTGGTCAAACTGGTCGAATCAACTTCGTTTGATTGCTTTTTTCATATTCTGGCCGTCCGGGAATGGATAATTGTTTTTGAGATGAGATGGGCTGTGTTTCTTTTGCATAGTTTGAAGCCAACATGTTTAATTTTAGTTGAACAGATTATTTGTGATGGTTGGATCTTCTCCTCTGCTTGATGAAACTTTGAATTGGGAGCTGAAATTTGAATTTACCTTATTTGGTTTGATAGAACTGTGTTCATTATCACATGTTATTGTTGAAAACGAAACTGTTCATTCTTTTAAATTCTTTTGAACTATGAATTGCAAGTATGTTAGGATGTACAATTATTTGTAGCATTCCCATTTCATAAATCCTGCCATCCTCTTCAGGGAAGCCTTGTTTATTCATTGTGTTGTTCCTTCATAATCACTCTTGATATGAACATGTAGAATGTTGAATATATTGTTCTACTGATGTTTTCATTCCTACTTTAGGACAGTCAACGTTTCGAAAATTAACATCACTAGACTGATAATCTCTTGATCTTCCATTATAAATATGACTGAATATCTGATTCTCTTTCCCTTATATATTGCTTGCTAAATGGACTATATTTTGTTTGATGCTAAGTATATGATATCAAATGTTGTGTGACTTTATCCATTCCGTATGGCTGTCTGTGCTCGTTAAGGTTCTCACTGTTATGCTTGCGCTCATCTGCTGCTACTTGTACTTTGTTTGTCCGAGACTGATTGCTTATTTACCTTGATATTCAGTAATTTTCTTTCCCATTTCGTGGTTATGCATTCAGCTCCTTTTTTCCCCCCACATTTTAGAACATCCGGCTAATAAATCATTATACTATGAGTCCTTAATCTTGACATTTCAAATAGCCATTCAATATAAGATATGATGTTGTCTCTAGTTCAATATAGATTCAATATAGATGCGATATCCCACATTGGTTGGAGAGGTGAATAAAACACCCTTCATAAGGGTGTGACAACCTTCCTCTAGCAAACGCATTTTAAAGCCTTGAGGGGAAAACCCGAAAGGGAAAGCCCAAATAGGACAATATATGTTAGTGGTATTACTAGGCCGTTACAAATGGTATTAGAGCTAGACATAGGACGATGTGATGACGTGCTAGCCTTCTATTGAAGGGGGTAGACACGAGGCGGTGTGCCAGTAAGGACGTTGGTCCTAAAGGAGGGTGGATTTGGTGGGAGTCCCACATCGATTGGACCTTGTAAAACCATTTATTAAATCATCAGGATAATGATCCATCAACCTACTGTGTGAATATGTATAAAGAACAAGCAAATCCTATGAAGATATAGAAAATGATGTTTTTATGTGAGCAATAGAAGCCCAAGTTCATGGAATTGTTGATGTGGAGCCATTGAATGAAAAACAGTGAGGATTTCACACAAAAATTCTAAATTTGAGATTTTCTCTTCTTACCCGAAGTTAAGCCAATGAGAACAAGGAGGGATAAAACTTGGTCGGGGAGAGAAAACTATTAAGAATTTAAAAATAGTTTTTATTGAAAAAAATGAAAATAAAATTGAAATTAATAAGGTTCATATGAGACTATATAGATTACGCACATTAAGGATAAATTCATACGTATATGGTTCATTCTTGGAGGATAAGGATAGGGAGTGGAATACCCATTTCCAAACCCATCATATTTATCTCAACCCAAGATCCGACCCGCACATCATTTTTTCTTTTTCAAATTATTATTATTAGACATTTATTTACTTCAATCATTTTTAATAATTCACTTTAAAAAAATCACATTTGCAAAAAAAAAGTCAAACCATAAATTTATTATAGTTAGTTTTAAAAACAGAACAAATTTTATAAATATCAAAATAATAATTTAGAAGGTAAATAGAATTCACAAAGAAAATAAGTGCTCAAAATATATAATTACGTGAAATTAGGTGTATGATTAATTGGAAACATAAATTTGACTAATCTCATAAATTAATAATTAAAACAAAGAAAGAAAGAAAAAAAAGCCGGGAGAAACGGCGTTAAATCGTAGGGGTTTTCTTTTTGTTTAAAAATAATAATAATAAATAAACAATGACGTGGCCGGGCTGCAAAACTTAAAAATTAATACGTAAAAGGTGAACATAAAAAACGCACTTAACGACAGCTGCAGACGGAGTAGCTAACGGCATTTCCGGATAAGAAAAAAAAAAAAAAAACTAAAACTAAAATGGTATTTATTTAATTATTTAATTATTTAATTATTTAATTATTTAATTATTTAATTATCTTCTTCCTTCTTCATTCGTCCATCACAATTCTGACACTTTTTGTGTGCAACTCTCCTTCAATCCTTCTTTGTCCCTTTCCCCCAAAAGCTTCTCTCCTTTTGATTCTCTCCTCCGAATCATGCTTCGCAGTTTAATCCCTCATTCCCCCATCAATTCCGCTTCCAATTCCATGTCGTCCAAGCGCCCCGCCGACGCCGACTCCGCCGCCGACGACCCTTCCTCTAAGCGTCTCAATTCCGGTCCCTCCAACTTCCACGCCGGCGCCTCCGGGGAGAAGGACGTCGAGGAGGAAGAAGAGCTTCCGCTTGTCGATGGCAGCGACTCCACTGGTTTGAGGCTGCTAGGTCTTCTTCTTCAATGTGCTGAGTGCGTCGCTATGGATAATCTACAAGAGGCGAACGATCTCTTGCCGGAGATCTCGGAGCTCTCCTCGCCGTTCGGTACCTCACCTGAGCGCGTCGGCGCGTACTTTGCCCACGCGCTTCAGGCTAGAGTGATAAGTTCTTGCTTGGGAACCTACTCGCCCTTGTCGATTAGGACGCTGAATCAAACTCAGTCGCAGAGGATGTTTAATGCTCTGCAATCCTACAATTCGATCAGTCCCTTAATCAAGTTCTCTCACTTCACTGCTAATCAAGCCATTTTCCAAGCCTTGGACGGCGAGGATCGAGTCCACGTTATCGATCTCGACGTAATGCAAGGTCTTCAATGGCCTGGATTGTTCCACATCCTCGCCTCCCGCTCGAAGAAAATCCAATCCCTACGAATATCCGGCTTCGGATCCTCTTCGGAATTGCTCCAATCCACCGGGCAGAGACTCGCCGATTTCGCAACCTCCCTCGGCCTCCCGTTCGAGTTCCATCCAGTGGAAGGCAAAATCGGAAACCTAACGGACCCAAAGCAACTGGAATTGAGGGCAGGCGAGGCGGTGGTAGTGCACTGGATGCACCATTGCTTGTACGACATAACCGGCAGCGATATAGGTACGCTGAGACTTCTTTCAACCCTAAAACCTAAACTGATCACCATTGTGGAACAGGATCTGAGCCATGGGGGCAGTTTTCTAGGAAGATTCGTAGAAGCTCTGCATTACTACAGCGCGTTATTCGACGCGCTGGGTGATAGTTTGGCGATGGATAGCGTGGAAAGGCATGTGGTGGAGCAGCAATTGTTGGGATGTGAGATTAGGAACATTATCGCCGTCGGTGGACCCAAAAGAACTGGAGAAGTGAAGGTGGAGAGATGGGGGGATGAACTGAAACGGGTCGGGTTCGGAGCCGTCTCTCTTGGGGGAAACCCAGCTGCTCAGGCCAGTCTGCTTCTGGGCATGTTCCCCTGGAAAGGGTATACTCTGGTTGAAGAAAATGGGTGCCTGAAACTCGGATGGAAGGACCTTTCCCTGCTCACAGCCTCTGCCTGGCAGCCCTGTGATTGAAAACCCCATTGTTTCAAGTGCTTTTCTTAGAGCAGTTCATAATTTTGGTTGAAGGGGGGGCGGGGCAGGGGCAGGGGCAGGGGCAGCCCTCCCTCCCTCCCTCCCTTCCTCTGCCAAGAACAATAATGGCGCCATTATTCCTGGCTGTGGATGAACAGAGGAGGCCATTAAAGCAGCAAAAGAATTGGGACAACAAAGCTCGTCTTACTGAGTTTGGGAACTTGGAGATTGTTGGATTAGCAAACAACCTGCTGTGTAAGACTCCTTTATCTCTGCTGCTTCTCTGGTTTTAGTTCTGTGTAAAATATCATTGTCTATTTCAGAATAAAAGCATGATGAATAAGATCATTATTCTTGCTTCTGGATCCGAGATTCGAACTACTGATTTTTCAGTCTTAACTCAGTTTAATTAGCTGAGTTATGGTGTTCGTTTTTAGAATAATGTTGGTTTTATTGATCAAGTTGATCGTTTTTAGAATAATGTTCTTTTTATTGATCAAGTTGAGTATTCCATTCAAGTACACGGATCTTTAAATCTCTAGAAATAACTTTCTAGGCTACACTTTTGAAAAAAAACGTTTACACGACACACTATGATTGGATTCTTCTCTGTCTCTTTTTCTTTCTTTTGAGGGTACTTTTTAACATTTTTCCTTTGTTAATTTATGCATACTTTATGCTCCTATGATTATATAATGTGAAGCAGTAAAACAAGCTTAGTTTTAATGTTTCACAGAAGTGACAAGATTTCAACCACAACCTATGGTTTATTTATCACTATACATATCATGATTTTGATTAAAATGGATAATAGCCTGCTTTGACAGGGAACCAATGGCTGAGCATGCAAACCACCATCAAAAATAAAAACGAAAAAAGGAAAAAAGAAGACAATTTTTTAATGGACAAAACTGATGTGATATGGATTTGATCAAAGCATCATAGAAAGTAACTGCTTAACCTCTCCCAAAAATAAAAATGAACTTCAATTATTATAATGAAATATCTTTGACTCTATTTTTTTTAAAAAAAATATAATTATTCTATTCTCCGTACGTTTTAACAGAACGTTCCATAAAAAAAACAACACAACACAACTATGCGTTTCAGGTCACTGTGACGTAAATTTTTCATTAACCGTTCTAATATATTTGAATTGAATTAAACACTTGACTTGAGTCTTAGGTAAATTCAAGAATGAAAGAGGTATGCAAATTCCCTTTTGAGCACACATTTGGAAGCAAGCACTCAATGAGCAATTTGAAAAGCAAGTATGGAAATGATGAGTGTTTGATTTAGAAACGAAAATGGTACAAATTTTTGTGAGTTTCATCACAAGTTTCCCATTTGAATGTGTTCCCCAAAAGCTGAGAGACCCATTGGTGACTCTAAATTCAAATCATTCCGACAAACAACAAAAAAAACACTCTCAGTTTGTGCAGCCCCAAACCACACAAACTCTCTCACCTTCTTTCTATAACCAACAGCTTCCATTTTTTATCCTCTACTTTCCCATCTTCTTCCCTTCCCTAATATGCAAACCAATACAACAAACCCATCTCTCTTTTCACCCAAACCACTGAACTAGCCCGTCTCTTAATAACCGTTGGCTCGAGATTCGAAAATACAATGCGATTTGCTAAAACCACCCCACATATGTAGTGAGTGGCACGAGTTTTCTATTTATAATCATTTACCGTATGAAATAGCATCAAACAAATCATAAAGAAAATAGAAACAACATTAAATGAATACAAGATATTAGTTTAATATAATATGAACATGAAGGAAGACTTAGTATCCTCAACCCTATCATCTTTCCGTCTCTACTGTTAGAATGGTTTTTCATCGCTTTGATATTTTGTTCTTTAATAAAAAAAATCATATATGTATTCTATATCTTTCTATGCTTTGACTCGTTCTAATATGCAACCAGAAAAGAAAGAAAAACAAATGAAATTTTCGTTTTTTACCAATCCTATAAATCGTTCGGAGAAATTAATAGATGACGCCGTCCCTTGACAATTAATGATTGAATAGAGATTTTTGATGGATAGAGGTTTCTTTAATAATTTATGATGTGTTAGTGTGTGGTATAGGACAGTGTATCATCATTTTGATGCCTTCTCTCACTTCATAATAATGGAAGCTAAGTCAAAGGAGGAATCATTTTGTTATTGTCAAAATGCTTAAGATTTGTCTCCCAACTGATTGATGTTGTTTGGACGTGTTTTATGCATATCTCCATCCAAACGCACTCTCGTGCTCAAGTCATTGAGTAACACAAACGAACCATTATTTACGCGATTTCACGTAAAAATGTGTCATGACCAGTTAAAGACCCACCTAATTTATTAGACTGAATCTTTCGTCCAGTCAACACCATTTTAATAGATCCTTGTCCGTTTCTGATAATAGGTGATCTAGTCCATCTAACATAACTCGACTATAACAGATCAAATGAGTTTTTTCTCTTTATGGGTCGTTGGATAAATAGTTTATAAAATAATTTTAGGAAAAAAAAACACGAGAATCTGAAAGAAAATAGAGAGGGGCAAAAGTTGATGATGAAGTAGTGGAAGAATGTTGGCACACAATGCAAAAACTTGTTGTTTTCAATCAAGCCCAAAACAATGAACACTTTGTTGAAAAACATTTTATTTATTTATTTATTTATTTATTAATTAATTATTGCATCATTTATAATAAGAAGAAATTCTTGGGTCACCATCAAATGAATATGTCCATACCCTAATTATTTTTGTGTTGGAAAACAATACCTCAACTTGGTACATTTTTTTTTTTTTTAATTTGTGTTTTTTCTTGTCCTAAAGGATGTCATCTAATGAATGGGACAAGGTGTTGAATTGGATTCCTTTTTTCTTAAAATAGGTTTTCATGTTTGTTTCTCAAATTTTGTCTTTCTTTAGTTAATTTATACTGTCATTTTGTTTTAGAAAATTAAGTAAATGATTTGATTTGCGAGAAATATGTTAAAAAAATATTGATGTGTTTGGATATCGGAGTTTTAAAGTTAATTTTGATGAGTTTAATTATTTAATTAACGTTGGAGTTTGTTCTCTAGAACAACAATTAGTATGAGATATGGACGTTAAAAACAAGTGTATAAAGTAAATGGTACTTTTTTATATTTGGGTAATATATAGTTTGATTCTGAAAATTTAAACTTAGTTTCTATTTGATCCTTGACGTTTTAGAAATGACATGTCGGGTCTCTAATAGTTATGCAATAAGGTCTAATTTGTGAGGTTACATTGCTATGGCGTTATTTATTTGATCCATTTTTTTCTCTCCTCTTTCTCTTACCCATTTGTCTCCTCGTTCTCTTCTTGTTGTCACTCATTACTTATATCTCCGCACATTTCGTAGGGAATTTCTCGAAAACTTCACACCTAGTGACATTATCATTTATCATTTGTACGTCCAAAACGGACCAAACCACTAGAGGTTGCCCCACGATAGAATCATTTAGACACACTCCATAAATGAAAACAGGTATTGTGGAAACACGTCATTGTCAACTAAAGAAAGATGGTGAAGAATTGGTTGAAATAGAAACTAAATACTTTTTTAGACGTCTTCCACTATAGGTACGATTATCGATGTCAATGTAGACATTACACACCAAAGGGATAAGGGAGGTGAGGTGAGAGTAAGAAAGAGGAGAAAGGGAAAGAGACAATTATTCCAAGTTTTTTTTTTTTTTTTTTTTTTTTTTTGGGTTCAATTTTGGTTAAATAATTATTCATGGAATCATTAATATTTTTTTATTGAAATTTTGGTGGAACTAAGCCATGGAACTGTTGAGATTTTCATTTGATTAATAAAAAAGTAAAGTTATGTGTCAAAGTGGAATCAAACATTTTATTAGGGTAAATCAAATGAAGAAAGTAAGAGAAAACATTATACCAAAAATCATTGGTTTTTGACCAATGCTACAATTCCTTTTGACCAAATTCCTAACAAAAACAAAGATTGTCATTTAAGACAATTGAGAAAAATCACACGTGAACCAAAAAGTAAAGGGAAAGTGTTCCTTAAAACTCATCTCTTTTTTCTTTAAATTTGAAAGAAAAAAAAAATTACCATCAAATATTTACGACTTAACTTTTGATTTTTGATCAAGTATTTATTTATCACGTTTGAATAATGAAATATTACATGAATGAAATTAAAACTACATTCGAAAAAGACAATATTGAAATTACATTTGAAAAAAAATATTGAAAATATAAAATTAAGACCGAGAAAAACTTAAAAGAATTGATAGTAATGCATATATACAAGTGCATTTTTTTTTTGGTTAAAAAATCTTTTTTTTTCTATCATATTGTTTCTCTATGCTTTTGTTAGAAAAGGATGGAAAAAGTTGAAAAAGACGTCCACATGGACATTATTGATATCAATTATGTCTATAAGGAGTATGATATATACTACATTTCAACAACAATTAAAAAAATATACTTTTACGTATAAAACTTAAATTATATCAATTAAACATTTTTTTTTCCCTTAAAATTATTTTTAATTTGTGCTCAGGTTAAATTAGAAGTGAAGCTAACTTATGCAGTTAACCAACTAGTAAATTTTAATGACTTCTACACAGGAAGTAGACTAGACATATGATCATCAATAGAATTTACTTTTACATGCTGGCTGGGGAGAGGGGAAGAAAAAAAAAAAAAAAAAAAAGAAACTAATTCCCTAACCAAATTTAAAAACATAAACTCGAAAGATATTACAAAGATGGGGCTTCCAAATAAGGACGTCTTTTCTAATTAAGGGAAGAAAAAAAGAAAATTTAATACCTCTTCCCCAGATATATTCCAAGTATAATAGATATAATTGCTACTACGAAAATAAGCTTCAAAGAGGATATTGAAGAAACCTCAGTAGTTTGAATCTGTGTTTGGGAAGTAGAAGATGAAGGTGGCGTGGATGCTGCTGCAGCTGTTGCTTCTTTGTTCTTCTTGTGTTTCCTTTTTGTTGGAGTTGAAAAGTTTAATCCAATATCTCTGGATTTTACTTCTACTCCCTCCGTATCAGCCTCACCCTGCATCACATAATAATTCAACTAAACATAAACATAAATGCCATTAGGAATTACAAACATCTGCAATGATACTTATTATCTATTTTCAGCATAAGAATTTATGGTTTTGCTTTTAAGTCCATGATCAACCTCTTAATTAGCAGAGGTGAGATTCCTCTCCCAAATGCATGCCTACTACTTTTACTACGACATATGGTAAAAAATTGGAGCCACAGTTCATTGCTTCTGACCGTAGGTTCAGCCAAAAGTAATTCAAATTCCATACAATACTCCTAAAGTTTGAAATCTCTTTAAACTTCGAAAAATCTCATTTCAACCTTCAAGGTTTAGAATTGTTTCAGAAAATATATTGGTAGAATTTTTTAATAATAGAAAGACATACATGATCTCGTTAGGACATTATTTATATAAATCAACAACATAATAATTGATGTTTAAAAATTAGTTGCATGAATGATACTGTATAACCTTAGTTGATTAGGAAACTGAATAGAATTCTTTAAGAGTGTAAATGAGTAGAAACAAACCTTTTGTATAGACTTAGCCTCAGCCAGGAGCAATTTGTGGTGGAGGTCCTTGACTTGTGATTCTAGAGCAAGAATTTCTTTGCCTTTCGCTTCCAGACCTTGAAGAGACCGCTGAAGTGAACCTTCTCGTTCGAGCTCTTTTTGAGCGCCTTTCTCTTTCTGTTGAAGAGAGCGTCCTAAGAAATTAAACTAGGTTCATTGTTGATACAATCCAAGCAGTAAAACTTGATTGTAACAGCATGTTTTTTTCTCAGAAATATAGAGCTCTTTTTTTTTTTCAGGTATGCACGGTGCCTAACCTGTTCAGCAATCTCCGACTTTGCCACCTGCAATTCTTTCTGAAGTTGTTGTACTTGTTCATTTAATTGGTCTCTATCTTTGATTTTTAGTCCATAATCTTCCAATTTGGATTTCAATTCTGTCTCTTTTCCAGCAGCTGTTGTTCGGACGCTTTCGAGCTGATAACATCGTTCACATTCAACACAAAAAAAATCATTAAAATCTCAGAAGAGAAATAACCAATTGGATAATTAATGAAGCATGCATTCAGTCTTATTTCTTCCATAATCACACTTCGATGTACCTCTTCTTTCCGGAGAGCTTCAGATTTACTTAGCTCTTCTTTATGGCGTATTTTAAAATCATTATTCTCTGTAATCTCTGCCTTGAGACGTTCAAGTTCAGATTTTAATGATTCTTCAACTTTGCTCTGTTCTTTCAATTTTCCTTCCAGCTGTGCTATCTCCGATTGTAACTCGTTTTTGGTCTTCTGGTATGTCTCATTGAGGACGTTCTTGTCTTCCATCATTGAAGCGATCTGTGATCATGAGAATAATTCATTGCACTGAACAATAACAGCATTTTAATAGCACCAATTAGTTGAAAATTAAACTTTTCTGCAAACCTGAGACTGTAGTCTCTGTTCTTCGAAAGCTAGCTGTGATTTCAACTCATTTACAGTCTTCTCTGCAATCTGAAGTCGTTCATCAGTGTCATCCCTTTCAGCATTTGCAGCAGATAATTTGGTCTGGTGATCGCTCAAATTAGATTCATACGAGGTTAAGTCCTGAGACAGTCTCAAATTTGCTTCATTCAACCCTTTATTCTCCTTTTCAGCATGAATTGCCTTGGTTTGCAGCTCCTCTACAATGCTTTCTAGATGCTTTACTTTCAAAAGAGTCTCTTCGAGCTGACTTTTAAGAGCTTCAGCATCTGTGGAGGCTTCCTGAGCTTTCGCTTCAAACAATTTAATCTGGCCCTCAGCTGCCCGGAGCCGTTCAGCAGTTTCATCCCTTTCAACGTTTGCAGCAGATAGCTTGGTCTGGAGATCACTGATGTTAGATTTATATGAGGCTAATTCCTCAGTAAGTCTCAAATTTGCCTCACTTAACCCTGCACTCTCCTTTTCAGCGTTAATTGCCTTGGTTTGCAGCTCCTCTACTATGCTTTCTAGATGCTTTACTTTCAAAAGAGTCTCTTCGAGTTTACTCTTATGAGCTTCAGCATCTGTGGAGGCTTCCTGAACCTTTGCTTCGAGCAATTTAATCTGGCCCTCAGCTGTCCGGAGCCGTTCAGCAGTTTCATCCCTTTCAACGTTTGAAGCAGATAGCTTGGTCTGGAAATCACTGAAGTTAGATTCATATGAGGCTAATTCCTGAGTAAGTCTCAAATTTGCCTCACTTAATCCTGCACTCTCCTTTTCAGCATCAACTGCCTTGGTTTGCAGCTCCTCTACTATGCTTTCTAGATGCTTTACTTTCAAAAGAGCCTCTTCGAGTTTACCCTTATGAGCTTCAGCATCTGTGGAGGCTTCCTGAGCCTTGGCTTCGAGCAATTTAATCTGGCCCTCAGCTGTCCGGAGCCGTTCAGCAGTTTCATCCCTCTCAACGTTTGCATCTGATAGCTTGGTCTGGAGATCACTGAACTTTGATTTATATGAGGCTAATTCCTGAGTAAGTCGCAAATTTGCCTCACTTAATCCTGCATTCTCCTTTTCAGCATTAACTGCCTTGGTTTGCAGCTCCTCTACTACGCTTTCTAGATGCTTTACTTTCAAAAGAGTATCTTCGAGTTTACCCTTATGAGCTTCAGCATCTGTGGAGGCTTCCTGGACCTTTGCTTCAAACAATTTAATCTGGCCCTCAGCTGTCTGGAGCCGTTCAGTAGTTTCATTCCTTTCAACGTTTGCAGCAGATAGCTTGTTCTGGAGATCACTGAAGTTAGATTCATATGAGGCTAATTCCTGAGTAAGTCTCAAATTTGCCTCACTTAATCCTGCACACTCCTTTTCAGCATTAATTGCCTTGGTTTCCAGCTCCTCTACTATGCTTTCTAGATGCTTTACTTTCAAAAGAGTCTCTTCGAGCTTACTCTTATGAGCTTCAGCATTTGTAGAAGCTTCCTGAGCCTTTGCTTCAACCAACTTAATCTGATCCTCTGCTGTCTGAAGCCGTTCAGCAGTTTCTTCCTTTTCAATATTGACAGCTGATAACTTGGCCTGGAGATCACTCAAATTAGATTCACTTAGGGCTAGTTCTTGAGTAAGTTTCAACTTTGCCTCATTTAGCCCTGCATTCTTCTGTTCGGCATCAACTTTCTTGGTTTGCAACTCTTCTACCATGCATTCTAGTTGCTTTACTTTCAAAAGAGTCTCTTCGAGCTGACTCTTGTGAGCTGCAACATTTTCTGAAGCTTCCAGAACCTTGGTTTCAAACACTTTTATATGGTCCTCTGCTGTCTTTAGTTTCGCACTCAAGTCCTTTGCCTCCGAATCTCTCTGTTCTAACTTTTGAATGGCCTCCTGCAATTTCTGATCTGTCTCCACTTGACGAGATTCAGCTACAGATTGGAACTCGATGGCTCTAGAGTGCTTTTCTGTTAGTTCAGAAATAGAGCTCTTATGAGAAGCAACCTGTTGATCAACAGTTTCCTTTTCAGAAAGAGCAGTGCTCAATAACCCCTGAAGTTCATTAACCTTAGCTTTGAGTTGAATGTTTGTGTCTACTAATAATTCATTTTCTGAAGAAATCTGAGAAACTTTGTTTTCAATTTCCAGACTATACTTTTTGAGTTCACCATTCGTACTCTCCAAAGAAGCCAATGTTGTCAAAGTCTGATCCAATTCTTCCTTTAAAGCTGCAGATCTTCCATTGGTTTCAGATATCTGATCCTCACAAACTTTAATTTGTTCTTCAAGAACTTTAATTTTCTCCATTAGAGAGTTAGCCTCAGATTCTTTGTTGGCGAACTTTGCTACTGCTTCCAGCATGCTAGTTTCTAGATGCTTTACTTTTGAAAGAGCCTCTTCGAGCTGACTCTTATAAGCTTCAGCAGTTGTAGAAGCTTCCAGAGCCTTTGCTTCAACCAATTTAATCTGACCCTCTGCTGTCTGAAGCCGTTCAGCAGTTTCATCCTTTTCAACGTTTGCAGCTGATAACTTGGCCTGGAGTTCACTCAGATTAGATTCGAATAAGGCCAGTTCTTGAGTAAGCTTCAACTTCGCCTCATTTAGCCCTGCAATCTCCTGTTCAGCATCAACTTTCTTGGTTTGCAATTCTTCTACAGTGCTTTCTAGTTGCTTTACTTTCGAAAGAGTCTCTTCGAGCTGACTCTTATGAGCTTCAACATCTGCTGAAGCTTCAAGAACCTTCGTTTCAAACAATTTTGTCTGGTCCTCTGCTGCCTTTAGTTTCTCTCTCAAGTCCTTAGCCTCCGAATCTCTCTGTTCTAATTTTTGAATGGTCTCCTGCAATTTCTGATCTGTCTCCACTTGACGAGCTTCAGTTACAGACTGGAACTCAATGGCTCTCGAGTGCTTTTCTGTTAATTCAGAAATAGAGCTCTTATGAGAAGCAAGCTGTTGATCAGCAGTTTCCTTTTCAGAAAGAGCAGTGCTCCATAACTCCTGAAGTTCATCAACTTTGGTTTTAAGTTGAATGTTTGTATCCACTAATAATTCTTTCTCTGATGAAATCTGAGAAACTTTATTTTCAATTTCCGAACTATACTTCTTGAGTTCACCATTTGTACTCTCCAAAGAAGTCAGTTTTGTCAAAGTCTGGTCCAATTCTTCCTTTAAAGTTGCAGATCTTCCATTGGTTTCAGATATCTGATCCTCATAAGCTTTTATTTGTTCTTCAAGAACTTTAATTTTCTCTATTAGAGAGTTGGCCTCAGATTCTTTGTTGGTGAACTTTGCTACTCCTTCCAGCATGCTAGTTTCTAGATGCTTTACTTTCGAAAGAGCCTCTTCGAGCTGACTCTTATAAGCTTCGGCAGTTGTAGAAGCTTCCAGAGCCTTTTCTTCAACCATTGTAATCTGGCCCTCTGCTGTCTGAAGCCGTTCAGCAGTTTCATCCTTTTCAACGTTTGCAGCTGATAACTTGGCCTGGAGATCACTCAAATTAGATTCAAATAAAGCTAGTTCTTGAGTAAGCTTCAACTTCGCCTCATTTAGCCCTGCAATCTCCTTTTCGGCATCAACTTTCTTGGTTTGCAATTCTTCTACAGTGCTTTCTAGTTGCTTTACTTTCAAAAGTGTCTCTTCGAGCTGACTCTTATGAGCTTCAACATTTTCTGAAGCTTCCAGAACCTTTGTTTCAATCACTTTTATTTGGTCCTCTGCTGTCTTTAGTTTCGCACTCAAGTCCTTTGCCTCCGAATCTCTCTGTTCGAATTTTTGAATGGCCTCCTGCAGTTTCTGGTCTGTCTCCACTTGACGAGCTTCAGTTACAGACTGGAACTCGATGGCTCTCGAGTGCTTTTCTGTTAGTTCTGAAATAGAGCTCTTATGAGAAGCAAGCTGTTGATCAGCTGTTTCCTTTTCAGAAAGTGCAGTGCTCAATAACTCCTGCAGTTCATTAACCTTGGTTTCGAGTTGAATGTTTGTGTCTGATAATAATTCATTCTCTGAAGAAATCTGAGAAAGTTTATTTTCAACTTCCGAACTATGCTTTTTGAGTTCACCATTTGTACTCTCCAAAGAAGTCAATTTTGTCAAAGTCTGATCCAATTCTTCCTTTAAAGCCGCAGATCTTCCATTGGTTTCAGATATCTGATCCTCATAAGCTTTTATTTGTTCTTCAAGAACTTTAATTTTCTCCACTAGAGAGTTAGCCTCAGATTCTTTGTTGGTGAACTTTGCTACTGCTTCCAGCATCCTAGTTTCAGAATCTTTAGCTAATGACTCGTGTAACGACTGAAGTTCTAAGTTTCTCGTAGTAGTTTGCTCTATTGTTCTTACTTGGTGTTCTAGTTTTTCTTCCGCAGATTTCAGCTTTTTGAGCACCTCAGCCTCTCTGATACCAGTTGCCTGGAGATCACTCTCAATAGTTTCAAGTTTCTTTTGAGTAATGCTCAGATCGTTCCTTACGACTTCCACCAAATTTTCTGATTCAGCTAGCTGACTGCTGGACAAATTCAATGCATCTTCCAATTTTTTCTTTTCTTCAGTTAATTCCTTTTCCTTTACATTGGCAACATTCAATGCAGTTTCCAGGCTTGCTACTTTTTCTTCATATGACTTTATTTCAGACGCCAAGACAGATACATGGTCAAAGTTTTTCTTGGTTTCTGCTTCAGCATCCCCACATTTCTTTTCTAAAGTACTCAATTGCCCTTCAAGCTCTTGAATTCTGTATTTTTCTGCTTCAAGCAACAACTCCAACTCATTCACCCTTTTATCAGCAACTTCAATTTTGTTATTAGATCTCTGGGTCAGTTCTTCAAGTTCAAGGCTACGTTGATGATTTATGTTAGCTCGCTCCTCATGTTCAGCACATTTCCCAATTGTGGCCTTCAGCTCCTTCTCAAGATCTTGATGCTGCGACGTTAACTCCTGTATTGCGGATTCTAGTTGCAGTATCTTATCCTGATATTCCTGCTTTTTGTCATTCAGCTGCTTCTTTTCCTCCTGAACATCGATCAATTTAGTATCGAGTTCTTTTATTTTATCAGATAATTCAGTAACTTCCCTCTCGGCATCATTGTTTTTCAATCCTAACAAATTTAGCTGTTGTTCAAGCTCCACATTCTTTTGTTCTGCTGCTACAAATCGAGTCTCAAGTTCTCTTAATTGTGATTTTGCATCTTCCGCTGATGCAGTTGAAGCTCGGACAATTTCTTCAAGTTCAAGATTCTTCTGAGTGGCAGTTTGAGCGACAACTCCAGTTTCATTATGAAGATCCTCCAAATCCTTCAACTTCTGTTCCAACTCCTTGTTGTTGGACAGAGCTTGAGACAAAAGAGAATCAGCTTTTCCCAAATTCTCATCTGAATGCTTCAGCTTTTCCTCAAGATTGTTGCATAAATCTTTCATTTGTTTGGCATTGCTAGAGAAATCTGCTAGAGTCGCTTCAAGCTCTTCTTTATCTTTGATAGCTGCAGCAAGTTCCTTTTGAATATCGGAGACTTGTGCTTCCTTAGTTTTTAAAGCAGATTCAGCAGATTCTTTTTGGTTCACTTCTTCCTGAAGCTTCAACCTGATTTCTTCCAGTTCAGACATCTTTACACGAAGATCCTCTTTAGTTGAAGCAAATTGGTTTTCAACGGCTGAAATATCTTCCTTGATCTTAGATTCTGAAGTCTTTCGGATGTCCAGTTCCTTAGCTAGTTCTTCAATTAAACCTTCTTTCGTGGAAAGTTTCTTCTCCAAGTCTAGCACTTGAGATTTAAAAAGCGCCAGATCTCCCTGGACAACAGAAAGCTCAGTTGCTGTAGTTCGAAGTGCTTCTTCTACCTTTTGGCTTTCAGCAATCTTGTCATTTAACTCCTTGATATTTTCTTGCAGAGAAGAGATTTGATCTTCTCTTTGTTTGGCACTCAGTTTTTCTGCTTCAAGAAGCCTCTCAAACTCTAATGCTCTTTTTGCCTCAGATTCAGCATTTAAGCCACTTTGTTTGTGAAGCTCTTCAAATTTCAATGCTTCATCTCCAGATATCTTCAATTTTTGTTCCAACTCTTGAATCTGCTTCCGGGAATTCTCAAAATCACTGCTCAAACTATCAAATGCTTCTTTCACCGCAACCAACTCCTTGTTCTTCGCTTCTTGAGTTTGCAATGCCTCTTGCAAACTATTGAGCTGCGAACTATATTTCTCTTCAGATTCAACGATCTGCTCCTTCGATTTCTTAAGATCGAGTTCAAGCACTGCATACTTCTCTTCACTTTTCTCGAGCTTCTGACTTGTGAGTAATACCTCATCCTGCAACTTTGAATTCTCCGACTCTAGATGCTTCAAATTTCCAGCTAATCTCTCAATTTCAAGCTCAAAATCTCTCGACTTCTCTTGGGCCTCCAATAATTCTCTGCTCGGATTGCTTGCACTTCTTTCAGAAATAGTTGGTTTATCCTCCTCTACGAATGCTGTTTGGGCTGGAGGAGTATCCTCCGCCTCCAGAGGCTCCTTTTCTACTTTTATAAACTCCCCACCCAAAGAATTCTCCTCTTCTTCGTTCTTACTTTCTTTTGCTACTTGAATTGCATCTCCATTCACAACCTGTCATAAGATTTGGGAAACCATGCATGACTATCAAGAACTTCTAAGAATTAACTGCAATTTCTCTAGGGTATTTGTAAACATAATTAATTGTTTACATTCTATCAGATATGCAATCATCAAAGCTCCAATAGTTGATACCACGACGTTAAAATGGTTTCCATTTCAACCATTCCAGAATTTCGACAGTAAAGAATAACCAGAACTTCAGTCGCTGACGTTTGTTCAAGACAATATGAAAGTGAACATGTTACATAAATGCGTACACAAATTTTTATCCATTGTTGCTATAAGCATCAATCTCAAACCAAATTGAAAGCGAGCTATTAAAATAACACGAGAAAGAATGCCTGACCTTATCACCATTGGCATCATTTCCAGAATCCTCAGCCGCCTTGGTTACTGGGGCTTCCGAACTCTGAGGTGCAACTTCCATAGAGGCGCTATTATGCTTAATCTATAACATCAATTTAAACAGGGGAAAAAAAGTCAATTAGTCAACCATGTTACAAGGCGAAAAACGTTCTAGCACGCCCTTGTTTTCAGTTCTGTTCTGCACTTTTCAGTAGGCTCTATGCCCTGTTCTTCATAAAAATGCACTCCCTTAATCAGGTGCTGATTGATTTCAACTTACTAATATTGCAGTAAACAGATCAATCAGTATGTCCAGAAACAAGCAATTCGATTGACTGATCGTTAAAGGCATCAAGATTCATGATGAACTTTAACACTCCGAATTTTCCACAAGAATGAAAGCAAAGAATTGCACCAAAATAGATATGAAGTGAGGAATATATGTCAGACAAAACCAAACACTCAACGTAGCATTCATCAACACGTTTACCAGTAACTCAAGCTCAAATAAATAAATTTGCGACAAAATATTGAATAATAATTTAGGGCCTCAGTATACGATTTCTGTTTCTAATTTGATTTAAATAATTCATTTATTGGCTAAATGATAGATTTTCTTAACATGCAAATTTGCGACAAAACGTACTACGGACAATAGTTTTTTTTCTTCAAATAAAGAAACCCATTTTCACAAAAGAAATAATAATTCTAGTCCCTATATAAATATAACAATATAACAATTTTATTTATCAGTTTGAACTTAGAAGTTCTAGATCTAATCTCTCCTTCTATATATTATTATAATAATAATTTAATTTAATATTACCATACCACCTTTAATCTTTGGTATATTTGCAACAAATACAATTAAATAGGATATTACAATAGCAGCATTTTTAGTTTACAAAATTTAAAACTACTCTAACATCTTACCTCTCATTCAATATATTTCATAATGTCATTTCATAAAATTAAAAAAAAAATTGTAAAAATATTATTCTGTCACATCAAAGCAAGGAAACAAGACATGCTTCGCATAAAATCATGAGCAAAAAGAAAAAAACAGAAGACAAAAAACAAAAAAGTCTAGATCTAAATACATGCAAAGAGATCAAATTTTCTTTTCTTTTTTTTTTAAAAAAAAAAATCTCAAAAAGATTAAAAACCCATTCGGCTGTTAAGAACAATGAACTAATATATTTTTTTTTCTTTTGGCCTTTTGTTTTCAACAATTAAATTATAGACCAAAAACAATTTCCAACTAGCTAGCGGGCCCCATCAGCATTGTTGTGCTAAACATCTTTTCAATTAAAGAACTAGAGTCAGGACCGTTGTTTAGGACCCTTTACATTTGCCAGCAAAAATCAAACGAAGGAACCGTATCGTCAGAATTTGCCACAGAAATCGAAATCAATCTAAATATAGCAGATCAGATCAGATCAGATCATCCGATCGGAGGGTTGAAAATGCACATTTGTTTTTATAGAGTGGATGGCCCCCACTACCGATATGCGGTTGCCGATAAGCACCAGCAACATCACTGCCACCAAACGCATTAGTTTCTCTCACTCTCTGTTCGGACAGCTCAATCATCGCCGTCCAAATCAGCCACCTTCTTTTTTTTTTTTTTTTTTCCATTTTTTAAAATTCTATCCTAAATTGAGGACTCGGTCCACATCTTTTTGTAATTATATGCTTTACAGAAGGGTAAGCATAGCATTACAAACTACGTGACTGGAAAAAAAAGGCAAGGGTTTTGTGAAATGATTGATAATAATAGCATCTTTTTATTTACCGAGTCTATTACATTATTTACTGGCTGTAAAAACTTTATTAATATTTTCCAGTCGGTTTGATTTAAGCAACGAATATTCATCTATCAAAGAGAAATACTGATGAATATTTTGTGAAAAATATTGAATTTGACTTATATCTGACGTGGAAATCCAAGTCAGCATGTGAAGTATTTTAATCACATGCCACGTGTAATATGTGTCCGTTATTAAATTTTAATTATGTTATGCTCTAATATTTTAGCTTCTACGCCGTAGATCATTCAGTGAAAACGTACTAAAGAAGAAAAAAAAAAAAAAAATCATACAGCGAAAGCAGCCAAAAAGAATGTGGAGGGACGAAATTGGGCAAAGAAACTAATAGTTTTCTGGACTTCTCATCTTTAGAGATCTAAAAAGTAGGTGGAATAATATTTCTCAATAAAACTAGTTAAAACGATAAAGCAATTCAAACGTTCAGGACGAACGATTCTCTTTATGTCACTGAATTATCCGTAATGATGAATCCGAAAAAAATCCTAATCCTTTAATGAAAGGTATCGAATCGATGATTTGGTGAAGAGTAAAGGCAAAAAGGAAACCTCACGTGATCTGAGATCCTTCTACCTTGTTACTTAAGAAGAGTTAATCGATACAGAATTCATCTCAAAGTCGACTTAATAATTATCAGCACACCGAGATGATATCGCAAATTTCCAATTCAGCAAAGCGAGATTCAAAAAGAAATGAAGCACGAAGAGTGATAAGAAGAAACCGCGAGTCGCAGTACTGAAAAGAAGATCGAATGAGATCCAATCGCAGTAAAAATCAGAAAATAAACGGAGAATAAAAAAGAATCTGAAAAACATCGACGAGACGCTCATTCAACATCAACAAATCGATTCACCACTACACAACAAGGAGATCAAGCGCGCAGAAAGAATAAACAGAATAAAATCGAAACCAGAACAACGTCTCTGATCTTCTCAAGCAAAAAAAGAAAGCAAGCGGAGGAGACTGAAGACGCAGTTGCATAATTAATAGTGTCGCAAAAGCAGCAGTTGGCAGTAATAACCAAGAAAGCAAGACGATAGATAGATAGATAGATTGAGAGAGAGAGAGATGAAGTTACCTCAAATTTTGGTCTGCTGTAGTGTTTACAATACGATTTCTCCGCTCTCAGACACCGTGGAAAATGGGGAGACGGCGGAGGAGATGCCGATCAAGGAGGGTGGTTAGAGAGATAGAAAGAGAGAGAGAGAGAGAGAAGATTCCTTTTGTAACCGAGTTTTTGAACGTCCACTGGAAATTGTTGGTTAGTATAAATATTAACATATAATTTTTTTTAATTAGTAACGTGGGACCCGTAGGTGGGGGTCCACAACAGCAAGGATGACGGAGAATAGCCATAGGTCCAACTAGAGCAGCCGCGTTGGATGTTCCCTCCACATCATCTCTTAATAGTCCACCTGTATTACACCCCCTGTGTATGTACTTATCTTTCCAATTTCTCTTATTAAGTAAATTACATTTTTAGCCCCTTCCTTTTCATTTACTTTCTACGAATCCCAAATATTTAATGCTTTCTTTTTCTTTATATCTTCACCTGAAATTATTTAATCAATAAAGTTTAACTTAGATTTAAGAAGTTTGTATTAAGCTACAAACTTATTTAATCTAAGTTTATGAAATCTATATTTGTATAATTTTTTTTATTTTATTTTACTAGAACTATACATATCAATTTTTTTAAAAAATACTTCTTTATTATCATATGAAATCAAATGATTTTTACATAAAAAAAAAGTTACCATACAAATAATCATATTTTGCTATTTTTTTAAAATTAACTTTTTTAATATAGTTAAACATTACCTTTATTGTTTCTTTTTTTTTTTTTTTTTTTTTT